CCCTGCCTGCAGTGCATCACGGCCTGGCACCGGGACAATGGCTTTGCTAGTTCCCTGGAGTTGCCCGACAACACCCTCAACTTCGCTAAGAAGCACCCACTGATGGACGAGCCAGTGCTGCCACATGGCGGGCACCCGCTGCTTCTCAAGAAAGGCGTCAACCTCACACACCTGGCTGTGGACCGGGCCCATGGTCTGGATGGGCAGCTCTACAATGTCCTCTTCCTTGGCACAGGTATCCCCTGGGCTGGGTGCCCCCACCTGTCCCTGGATGGCTCTGGGCAGGACTTGGGTAGATTCCTATAGCCTGGCAGTGCCCAAGTGACCCCGCACCCCTCGTGGGGTCTCTCTCACAGATGATGGGTGGTTACTGAAGGCAGTGAGCATGCCCACGCAGGTCCATGTGGTGGAGGAGCTGCAGATCTTTGAGCAAGGGCAGCCTGTGGAAAGCCTAGTGCTGGCACCCCAGAAGGTACTGGGATATGGGTGATATGGCTTGTTTGGGGGTGCAGTGGGCATGCACAGGGCAGGGGTGGGGGGCAATTCGTGGGTGCCAGGCTAACAGCTGACTCCCCTCCCTTTGCCCCCACAGAAGTTGGTGTTTGCGGGCTCGCGCTCTCAGGTGGTGCGGCTGCCCCTGGCCGACTGCAGCAAGTATCTGTCATGCCCTGACTGCCTCCTGGCCCGTGACCCCCACTGTGCCTGGAGTCGCAACGCCAGCCGCTGTGTCCGCGCTGATGGGCGCGATCGGTGAGGAGCCTGCTGGGCGTGAGGAGGGGAGGCACGGTTGGGCATCCCTGGACCCATTGGGAGGGGAGGCATGGTTGGGCATCCTTGACCCCGTCTCCATGTCTTAGGGCCCTGCTGATCCAGGATGTAGCCGCTGCCAACACGGCCCTCTGCAGCCTGCCCCGAGCTGTCAAGCCAGGTGAGGCCCCCTTGGAAACCCCTGTGCCCTGCCCTGTGGCATCCTGGCACCCAGCCTCCAGTGCCAGAGGCCTGCCTTGAGCCCACGGCTGGGGCACAGGTTCCTCGGGCCTTTGTGGGGTTGGCTTTGCCTTTCTCCGTGCCTCATTTTCCCCTGCAGGACTGGTTTCCCCTCCCCATGCCACTGCATGTTAATATTTCTCTTGTATGTGCATCCTGGGGTCTGTGCCAGCGGGCACCCCCTAACGTCGGACATAGGCCCTGACCTGCTCTCTCTGCCTGCAGCACCAGCGGCACCCAAGAACGTGACGGTGGCGGCAGGCACAGACCTGGTGCTGCCTTGCCGCCTGGCCTCCAACCTGGCACATGCACGCTGGACCTTCAACGGGCGGGAGCTGCCGGCCGAGCGGGTGCCTGAGCTGGCTGATGCCCATGTCCGTGCCTTGCTGCTGCTGGGTGCTGGTCCCCAGCATGCTGGCACCTACCAGTGCTTTTCAGAGGAGCAGGGTGCCCTCCTGGCCACTGAGGCCTACACTGTAGCTGTGTTGCCTGGCCTAGCCACCACGCTGGAGGCACGGGCGCCACTGGAGGGCTTAGGACTGGTGTGGATGGTGGCCGTGGCCTTGGGTGCTGTGTGTGCCGTGCTGCTGGTTGTTGTGCTGTCCCTACGCCGGCGGCTCCGGGAGGAGCTGGACAAAGGGGCCAAGGCAGCCGAGCGCACCCTGGTCTACCCTATTGAGCTGCCCAAGGAGCCAGCCAGCCCCCGCTTCGCCCCCAGCACTGCTTCTGACTCAGATGAAAAGCTTTGGGACCCTGGCAGCTACTATTATTCGGATGGCTCCCTCAAGATTGTGCCGGGCCATGCGGCCTGCCCTAACGGGGGCCCTGCACCCAGCCCTGGCATCCCCGGGCAGCCCCTGCCCTCACCGCCCCCCCGCGCCCCACTGGGCGGCTTGCGGGGCTCGGCCTCCAATGGCTACATCCGGCTGCAGCTGGGGGCAGAGGCGAGGCCTGAGCGGGGCGAGCTGGCTGAGGAGCTGCGGCGCAAGCTCAAGCAGCGCCAGGCTCTGCCCGACTCCAACCCCGAGGAGTCCTCGGTGTGAGGCGCTGCCTGCGCCCTCACCGCTGCACAGCTACCTCATGGCCTGGCCCCCTGGGCCGAGACCTGGACCAGGGCCTTGATCCCTACACCCAGACCTAAACACAGGCCAGAGGTTTATGCTCCGGCCTGAGGCCCCAGCTCTCAGGCCTGGACACTAGCTAGACTCATGGCCTACATCAAAGCCCATGCTTCAAGGCTCAGGCCTATGCCAAGGCCCAGCCCCAGCGGGGACATTTTTAAGGTCCCCTTTTTCTACACCTCTCTCCCCTGGGGGAGCTCACAGCCACCGGCAGCGTCAAAGGAGGCCGAGGGCTCCAGCATCTGTCCCATCACCTTCCCCAGCCAAGGCTGGGTTTGGCAGCTTCTAGTAGCCAGACAGGCCCTCCCCCTGCAGGGGAGGGGACAGCTGGGCCTTGGCCCCCTCCTGGCACCCAGCATAGCCCACAGAGCAGGGCACCATGCCACCCCCACCCCCTCCCCTATGGGGCAGGGGCATTGTGAGGAGGGTGCCAGTGTACATAACCCCTCCCTCTGCCGTGTCCCCTGCACGCCAGCTTCCCTCACCCCCTCCACCACACTCCCCTTTTTTATCGGTGCCCCAAGCCACACAGTCCCGGTAATTTATTTGTTACCGAAATGTATTTATTTGCTGTAAATACTCAAGGATTTTTATATTAATAATAAAAGGGAGAGAAGCTCCAGCCAGTGTGCAGCCCTGCCAGAGCTTGTGGGAAGCAGAGCTGGATGGGGGTGCTATAAAAGCAAATCCAGCTGCCAGGACTCCTGGGTTTTCTGCCAGCCTGTGTCAGGCTGGGGCACTCAACCCCCAGATCCCATCCAGCTGCCTTGTTCCTGCAGGGTGCCTGGGGTGGGGGGCGGAAATTCAGTCTCTCCCAAGCTGGCCTGGCTCCTTCCCTCTTCCCACGCCCTGGGTCATGGCAGCTAAAAAGCCTGACAGGAAATTCTTCCTGGGTAGGATAGATGGGAAGGCTCCTCCTCCCTGTGTGGCCTAGCGGCTACATCCCTTTGCCCACTGAGGGGAGGGGGATGACGGACACGACACAGGCAGGCTGGCGGGGTTGGAACAAGAACCAGGTGTCCAGGTCCCTGCAGCTGCAGCAGCTCCACCCTGTGCAGGTGTTGGAGCAGCTGGCATGGCCTCCCCCTCCCCAGCCCCGCAACCAGCTGCTGCTGAAGGAACTCACTGAGCTGCAGGGGGTGCTGGGTGCTTGGCCTTGACCCCCTGCATGGTGCAGAGAGCCTGACCCAGCACCCCCTGGCAAGGGAGGACAACCTAGGTGTCCTGGCTCCCTGCTGTCTAGGGTGGGGGAGAGGTCTAGCCCTGCTCTCAACATCTCCCAGGGGGGCACATATGTCAGCACCAGCTCCGGACGCCAGGCTGGGAAACTCACGGCTTTTCCCACAGCCCCAGGCCACGGGGATGTGGCCTGGCCAGGGTCCAGCTGCGTCTGAGATGGAGAGAGCCTATGCCTGCTGCTGGCGTGGATGGGAAGGAAGAGGAGGAGGGCGCCAGGATGCCTGAGTTCTTCCCTGTTGCCTGCCCCCAGAGGCAGGGTGCAGAGCCCTGCATTCACAGCACAGTGGTGGGAGAGGCTGCCCTAGCCCTAAGGGTGGGTGCCAGGGGCCAGGCCAGGCTGGCGGCACGTTGCGTGGGGCCCCTTATTCCTGACCCACAGCTGCACATTGTTGCTAAGGAAGTGCTTCTACTGCCCCACAGCTCAGCCCAACCCCACCTGGAGTTAATGAGGACTGATTTCCACCAGCTGTGTCAGGGACAGTTGCCCTTGCTGGCCTGAGTGTGTAGTGTCCATGGAGGAGAACGGTGCATGATGGGCCTCTCCTGCCTGGTACTGTGCCTGCTGTGCCCACAGGGTACAGGGACCCTGGCAATGCCCCATGCAGCTGGGACAACCCAGACAAGCACCAGCTGCTGCCATCTGTGTGGTTGCCCGGCCTACCTGGGATTGTAGAGCTCAGACCCCAGCCAGCTGAGCTTGCACCCCCCCAAAAAAGGCACTGCCACTCAGTCTCAACCTGCAGCCCCCTGCCCAGCTGGTGCCCCACTCCTGACCCACACTGTGAATTTGTATGGGTGCCCTCTAGCAGCTGGACTGGGTCTTGCAGCGGGTGCTATGGAAACCAGGTGTCCAGGCAGCTGCCCCCTCACACCCACTGCTTCCAGCCCCTCCCCCATCCAGGCATCTGCCATTTCTCTTTGCTTTTGCTAGTGCTAACTTGCCCTTCCCAGGGCAGCCAGCCACCCCATGGTAGCTGGGGTGCTCTGGAGGCCTGGGCCTGGGCTGCATCTGGGGCAGCAGGTCCATGGTGCAGTGGGGATGTAGTGAGCTGGGCCACACTTCGCCCAGGTCCCCTGGAGGGACCAGGGGCCATGGAGGGAAGGGGAGTGCCTGGGCCAGGCTGTAGGACTGCTGTATGTCTCTGGGGGCACCACCCTTGGCCCAAAGGGGGGTTCCTGGGGTGCTGTGCAGGGGAGAGAGGGGGCTGGGGGGTACTAGGCAGCACTATGATGGAAGCTTCAGCAGGGGTACTGGAATAGGGTCTCATGGCCATGTCCCCCCAGGTTATGCAGCAGCAGTACCAAAACAGGCTCCTGACCTCCTGCCTTGACAGCGGTGCCGTGCCCAGAGAGTGGCAGCCCTGCAGAACTCAATTCGACCCTGGCTGGGGGGGCCATAGCACACCCTTGGGCCACTATGCGAGTCATGACCCCTGGCCACAGAGACAAGCAGGTACTTGGGGAGCCAGGGGGAACATGTGTATGGTATAGGGGGCCTCTTGAGTGTTTATGACTTGTCCTCACGATTTCAGGCCCTGCCCTGGAGCACCCCACTGTAGCATGGCCAGCCAGGAGCAAGACACACCTCCTGGGATGTAATGACCAAAGAAGTTTCCCTGTCTCTTAAGGGCTGATGGGGCAGAGTGCTGAGTGGTGCTGGGCTGCGCTCGGGAACACAGGCTGTGGCTGCTGGGGTGAGGTTCTGGGTTGGAGGCAAGTTTCAACCCTGGAAAAGAAGCTCCTGGTTGACCCAGACCCTAGAATCAAACCATGGGCACGCTCTATGCAATGGGAACATCCACCTGCACCGTTCCCCCAAGCCCATTCCCTCCTGGCCTCAGCAGGGCCATTGCATGGACCTTTCCTCCCACATTACATGGCTTCTTCGTGCCGCCCTTTTTACCCTGGTTCTCCCTGCTCCAGCCCCTGGGCCCCACAGGGTCCTCCAGCCCCAGGGCAGACAGCAGGGCAGGGGGCTTGGGGGCCTATTATTTCCCGGTCTGTTTGCAGCCCTCCTGCTGCCACCATGGGCACCCCCAGAACTGCAGCCCAGAAGCACAGGGCACCTGCCATGGGGGGCAGGGGGGATGGACAGACGGACGAACGACCCGGGATGGAGCCACCTCTGGACCGGGGCGCAGGACAGAACACACCACACAGTGCTGGGCTCTGCAGGGCTTTCACTGCCAGTGTGGGGGGGTACAGCAGTGCCCGTCCCCCCATAGACACAAGCAATATGGCTGCTGCAGCTTCACCCCTTCAGCAGGTCGGGCCCCTGTGCCCACAACCAATATGGGTGCATTAGCAGGCCAAGCCCCCTCGTGCCCACAAGCAACACGGCTTCTCCTGTTGAGCACAGTAGGCCTGGTGCCCACAACCAACATGGCTG